CCCCAAAACCCCAAAACCCCAAAACCCCAAAACCCCTCTTAGAATTAAGCATATTGGAGAGTTCTTGTTCTGATAAATTCATCAAATTTTGAATACTATCTTGAATATGCAAAGTACTAGCAACCAAGAACTTAAGCTTCCAGAAACTTTCCCTCAACATGCATAAAATTTCAAAGTTGTTTTTTGCATGAAATAATTTGAAATTTTATGATATATTTCTCTACTTTGGAGCTAATTATGGAATAAAAATAGCTTATGATCATGACAAATTTTGTTATAAAATCTTTCCTTTGCTTAACTATAAAGTATAAAGAAATTTTTACACAAGGACTGGAGATTATAATTCTTCCTAAAGCTCTTTATAGTCTTTTAGAGGAGTTTTATACAACAAACTTGACTTTTCTAGACTTTCTGCAGGCAGCTTTTGGTTTTCTAGCAAATTTTCTTTTGTCGATTGCAGATAGAGAACACATTTTGAGGATCTCAGTGAATTCCATTTTGTTAATATTATGCTTGTTTAGAGCATTTCTGCTCATTAAAGGGCTATTTTTCTACATTTTTACCCTGAACAGAGGCTCTGAGGCCTTTTAGTACTAAAGCTAGTATGAATACTACTTACATCGGTTATTCAAAGCTTTTATTTTAGAGCTGATCTTTCCAAACGGATTTTTTCGACACCTGTGCTGGATCCTACAATTTCAGACTGATACTTACGAATTACTTCCGCTTCGATAGGTTAGAGGCTTGATAGAGGTATTTCTAGAGGCAAGATACGGATCCGTAGCATTAGTCTTCAAGCAGTTTTGAATCACCTGATGAGAATTAATCCTACTTCGCTTTTCCTGCAGCTTTTCTGACCCAAGTTTGTACTTTGGCATTAAGTAAGATAACTGTATTTCATGCTATAAATAAGCGGATCAGGGTACGTTAATGCCTATCTCAGGTAGCTCATCTTCTTCTTTGAGGTACTGAGTGTTGAAAGTGCCATTCTGGGGTGACAAGGCTGGGTGATCACTTTCACTGTTAAAATTTGGATTGACTAAAGACTCTCAAGTGGTGTTTATCTTTTTCATGATGCACAATCTTCCAACTGAGGTACTATCCTCTCTGTACTGACAAAAATTAAGAGGGATATGGAGAGTATCTTACTGCCTTTTCAAAGCTGAATGATAGTTTATTCCTCCTTTTTGAACGTCTTTTTGGAGCAGGAAGTTTACTAAATTTAGAGGAGTAAGGACTACTTTGAATCATGAGTATGCATTTTATTTGTTTTTCTTGGTCTATAGAAATGCTAGTCAATTTCATTCTGATAAAATTTTATAACTTCAAAAAGATAAAACTGAAATCCTGATTTAGAGTATCATTTGAATAGTTATGAAAATCTCATGAAAGCTTACCAAAATCGGAGTATATTCATTACATCTCTCCTTTTGATTTCTGGTTTTCCGAATGCTATCAGAAGACTTTTCTTTTATGCATCCTTTAATTAATTTTCTAGAACTCAAATTTCACAAATTCCAAAACTCAATAAAACTTGCAGAGCCTGAGAAGCCATTATAACTCTTTTGATACTATTATTTCAATCCAGACCTCTACTAAATTTGTTCTATATCTTTAGAACACTTATAAACTAACTTAGAATCTCACTAATTTTGAGCCGATGTGCTTGCTTACCTTGACTTTACAATGGGAAGTAGCTTTCTAGGTGAATTAAGATATGGGTTTTCTGCCATTTCAATGATGTTATTCTATTTTATTTCAAAGATTTCTTCCTTATTAGGGGTTTTGGGGTTTTGGGGTTTTGGGGTTTTGGGG